AGAATGCTTTACTCAACAATGCAAAATGAAGATCACTAGGTGTTGCCCCAACACATGCAAAGAAAGACACATCCTGGAGATTGAGAAGTTCCCTGAGGATGTGCTCTAGCACGGGTCCGAAAGCTTGGAAGAACAAACCTCTGGTCCTGATGACTCAGACTGGATCCTGCAACATTATCCTGGGATACATATATTTTCCTTCATTTGCAAAGAAAGTCAGTCTACTGAGCAAGAAACAGGACAATATCAGGGTTCATTGGTTTGAAACTTGTATTGAATATTAATAAAGATAGTATATGGAATATTTAAAATAATAAAATGAGTTTCCTTATGTACGAGGGAGTGTAAAGGCAGGATTCTAACTAAAGATATCATAAGCAAAAATGAGGTCTTCCATCTCCTTTCAAAATAAATGTAATAATTTCTTAAGTGTTCTAATGTTTTTCAAGTTAATTAACACATTTCAATGATGTCATTGGTCAGTCACAACATATCATTTCAACATGTATAAGTTGTGCTCTGGTACATATTGTGCCGTAATTGCATTTGCCTTGTTCCCCCAGTATGGAATCGTTCTTTTGAAACACATTGTTATCCCTTTTTATTTTATTCAATAAACAACTTGTTATTCTCAGCAAACACTCTCACTTTACTGACTCCTCTGAATCCTGTATCCATGGTTATATAAAATAGTGAGGGAACAACACTCCTTGTCACATCATGTATTGATAGGCTTTGCTCTAAGAACTTGGTGAACCCAGTGTAAACCAAGTGGATTATTCTAAGAGGGAAAATACTAAGGACAACAATACTAAGCAAGGCATGCATCTATTTCTTTTTAATCTTCTACATAGCTTTTCAGTAGGATTTCAGACTCTGTTACAGTGTGCATCCCTCTATAATCAATCTATCTTCTCTTCCATTCTCTCAGTATAAAGACAATTACAGGTAGTCCTCAACTTACAACAGTTCATTTAGTGATTGAGGTTAAAATGGCACTAAAAAAAGTGACTTACGGACATTTTTCAGGTATACGACCAGGGGTAAAATCCACTTACCTTCACTATTGGTTTGCAAATATGAGCGTGCGCACACACTTGCTACACTCGTGTGTGCCTCCACACATGCGCAGACCCCTCTGTGCATGCGCAGAGGGTCAAAAACAGACGTGATGATGTCCAGGTGGGTGGGCAGAGCTTCCCGTTGCTGGCGCTACCGGTTTGCCTGAGCTGGATAGAACCGGCTGCATTTCACCAATGCTTACGACTATTGCAGTATCCCCATGATCACATGATCAAAATTCAGATGCTTGACAACTGACTCATATTTATGATGGGTCCATGTCTTGAGGTGATCACCTTTTGCAATCTTCTGACAAGCTAAGTCAATGGGGAAACCAGATTCACTTAAACATATTACTAAATTAAGAACTACAGTGATTCACTTATCTTAGCAAGAAAGATCGTAAAATGGTGCAAAACTCACTTAACAAATGTTTCATTTGCAACAGAAATTTTGGGCTCAATTGTGGTTGTAAGTCAAGGACTACCTGTATATGAAATAGATAAGTTTATGTCTTGAGAAGGCAATCCACCATACTTCTGTTATGATTGCATTTGATACAGCCTAAAATATTTCTGCATCTAATACAAACTGTATATAATTACAAAATTGTTATACACTGTAGACTTGGAATGCATGTTATAAAATGCTTCCTCTCATATTACTGCTTGTTATTTTTTCTCAGTTCACAACTTAAATCTATTCATCAATCTTAGTTTTAAATGCTAGACTCAGCTAAAATTGGATTGGTGATTCTTATTCTATTGTGTTATGAGAACCAAGAAGATGTCTTAGCATAATAGTAGAGTTAGATCATCTCATTAAGCTATAATATGGTTTAAACTTTATTTGTTTAGACAGTGAATGTTTCATGAACACAGCAATTGTATTTTGTTAACTCATTTAGAGTTTAACAAGTTAAGACAAACCAGCCTATGTTTTGTTAATTTAGGATTACCTCCTTTTTTGTTAGAGAATTCTTCAAATTAGAATGCATTATTTCAGTAACACTATTTCAATACTATATATTGTCCCCAATCATAATGTAGAAATCCATTGGAAGATCTTGGACTAAGGCCATTTCCTTCTCCCTCTCTCTACCTTGCTGCAAAAAAGAGAGTGGCAAATAAATGAGAGATTGTTTTCAACAATGCTCATTCCTTTATTGTCATGGCTGGGATTTGGTTGTGGTACTGCTCAGCACTCTTCAGGCCTACACCAAATCAAAGCAACATTACAGTGTATTGAAAAGCTATCCATCCAAAACCAGAGGGAGTTGGGACACCAACCTCTTCTAGTACATCATGTGTAATATAGTATGCATAATATGTCCTGTATAGTCATATGTATAGAGCAACAAGCATGGGCCACCGTACACCAATTTTTGACTGCCAAAGTAAATCACCACAGTAACAGGCACAATATTTTGGTCCCAGTAGAGGCCCCGCCTTGCCAACCAACCAGTCCCTCCCTTTTTTTTAAATTCCCCCTTGGATTTCCCCCCCTCTCCAATCTCCTAAATAGAAATTCCATGATTTTCCCTGGGTGGGACACCCATACATACCCACACAACATACATACTCACCACATACATTCATATGTAAATACAGACTCTCTGACATACAAAGAACAAAGAACATCAGAAATCTACATCTGAGGTTGTTGCAGCAATGCAGCAGAGCTGTAGGAGTGTCCTAGCCCCACTGTAGAAGATGAAGGGCTGCCACAGCTATCAGTAATAGGTTCTTGTCTTAAGTTACAATATTTCTTTGCAATAGTTCTTGTGTTTTGTGCTAGGAAGTTATCTGAGGTTAATGGCAGCACAGCAGCAGGTTGAGAAATAGGAGAGATCTTCAGACACTGAATATACGGCCAGAGTACAGTACATTGTCAAAAGTGTCATCCTTCCCCATATTTGTGTGGAGACAAGTTCACTGCTTCAAACTGCTAGATGTGGTTAACTGTCTAGTAGTGACCCCAGATTTCTAGAGCCAACATGTGATTATGCAGGAAAAACAACTGGCCTCAGTTTACCAGCATCCAATTTTAATCCTGGTTGAATGGGGGGAAAAAATCTGGTCAGATGTCTTTTCCATTGTGAGAGTATCTCTTAACTTTCCTTTGCATTGAAGAAGGGCATGTCTCTTTTATTTTCACAGGTCTCCAGTTCATATATTTTTATAGTCCATGGCAAATAACTTCTAGATGACAAAAAGGCCAGTTCTATTAAATTCAAGTGTTATTAATGAGCTTAAGCCCACAAATGAATTGACTTCAAGTGCCTCATTCTTCTTTCTGTATGTGAACATTGTGCTGTAAACTTAAAAGATGCATTTGGATGTGCTTGATCCTGATTCCAAGGTATTTAGAATTTAAGAGACTCTAGAAATCAAAGGCAAGGAGGCATTGAGTAAGTGGATTCAAGCTTTTTTTCCCTTTTGGTGAAGAAGGCATGTTTGGCTCCTTTAAAAGTTGGGGAGAAAAGAAACACATACTGATTCTTATGGTCTGAGAACCAGGTTAGCTTCTAACTAGAATCTTAACTATCATCCCTGAACATTTTTGTTGCCTTGATCTTTAACAATATTCCTGTACTAGCTCCCTTGATGCATCAGCTACACGCAGCATAAAAAAGCATGCCAAGCAAACATAATAGGAAGACCAATAGCTACTAAAAACAACCAGTTCAAAAGTTGAAGCAGAACTTTAGGGTCAACAAAGTAAAAGGCAAATTGACATACTACATGTATGCCAATTATGGTAAAATTATATAACACTGAGATGTATTAGTTCTCACATTACCATCTCTAGAAAGTATTTTCTATATCATGTTAATAATAACTTGCCAGAAAATGTCCTCTTGCCATTGATACTAAAGGTACCAAACTGATTACCTATTGCTTGAACGGTGTAATTTTTACATGGATAATATAATCGGGGAGCCCAAATTAATTATTTTACAACAGCAATTGCCCTCAATTCTGTACTTGCTTCATTTGAGATAATAGATTATGTAACAATGGTAAGAATTAGTGCTATTATGATTCTCTCAATGGTTGAAAGATAATAAATGATTTGAACATTTTAATCCCAGAGGAAGCAAATTCCTAAATAAACCACTGAATCCTAGAACAAAAATATTCCTGCAAGGAGAAAGCAAGGTATATACAAAGGAGACTAAAAGGTATGATTTGGGAAAATCACTTTGTCAGAAACCCCAAGTGTTACATGCCTCAGTATATAAACTGTCATATTTGACCTCTGTCGACACTCTTGGATTTGCCCAGCTCTGTGCTGTAGCTCTTTTGATGCCAGGTGTTTTCTTATCCTTCCTTCAAGCATTTCAGTACTCAGAACTCAGAGCACAGTGAGGTAAGGCTCTTTCTATAGCACAAATTACTGCCAGAATTGGACAGAACATTCAGGACCATTCATCAATCCCAATACTTCCTTCTCTTTCCATTCTTATTAAAGCCAGTCAAATTAGGCTTTCTAAACTTCTTGTTTCCCGCAGTTCATGATGGCTTATATGACTGGATTTGAGTAACTTTGGGTTTATCCAAAATGTCAATACCAGGAAGCATGGTAGCTAAGGCTACCAACAGCCATTCTTCTAAGTATAAGCCAAAGTGCAAAAGATAACTTAGGCAGAGAGCGATACTGGTTATAACGACTGTTTCCCCCCCCAATATTTCTTCTTGGTCTGTTTAGATCCAGAAAATTCTTGTCACTACTAGGCTGGCTGCTCTATTAAACCTGCAATTGCCACTGAAAGGACTTTGTGAATTGGAACATACTTCTGGATAAGATTATACTATTTCCTGTGCTCTTGTCAAAATAACTGGGAATTCAGCTCCCCTTCCCCACTTTACATACAGTTTGTTTTCAAGTATAAAAATGTTCTTCCCAATTAACGTACAGGTGACTCCTTGTCTCGGTAAGTTGATCAAGTTTTTTTTTTTAATTATTAGCGGCTTAAAGCTGTCTTGTCTTTTTCTCAACCAGGTGCAGAGAATGTTTCCCAAAGTCACAAAGATGCTGTAGTTAGCCCTCTCATAGTTCTGCTTGCATGATCGATGCCCAGGCTATTTCTCTGCAACATCTCTACGTGGAGAGTAGATGAAGAGGATTTGAAGAGAAGATGAAATGAGACCTGTGCCCTTATTGCAAAAGCAAAAGGAAATCCATAGATTTTGGTGAGATCAAGATCCTGCCCCTGAGACTTGCCTACTTTGCTCATCATCCTCACTGCATAGTATACTCATCAAAGTTGACTATGATTTCCACAGTCCAGAAGAAACAGACAGAACCGCCACTGGAGCTAAGTACAGATTGTTCTCATTGCCCTCTAATTATTTTTTTCTTCTGCGTCTAAAACATACATGGAATGAAGAAAAAGCAAGCATTGTCTTCTAGAAACGTTGTGCGCTGAGCAAATTCCCCAACTCTAACGGAAAGCCAGTAGCACTGCACCTTCCACCAACTGGAGTTGCTGCTCAGCTTGAAACCTGCATCATCACAAAGACACACCATAAATAAATATGTTAAATAAATAGAGTGATTGGGTGACAGATCCAGAGAACGCTGGGGATGTGGGCCCCGAGGAGCCATCATCTCATACAGACACACACACACAAAGTAGCTAAAGACAAAGATGAGCTAGTGCAGGGGACACCTCTCCCTGGACTATGTGTTCTCAGAGGCAATCAGTGGCAGAAAGAGCGCAGTCCTCATATCTGAAGGAAGGGGAAGGGCTCGAGGGATATTATTTGTGAGCCAGTGCTGTGGAAGGGTTCTGTGAGCTGGAGGACAGGGAGACTTGTGTTGCTGAAGACGGCAAGGTGCGAGGAGTCTGGCACCTAAAGTGGGATAAGAAAGAAAAAAAAAATAGGAGCAAGAATCCACATTTTTCTTTTTTTCCACCCCTCTTCATTAAAAGCATTTTTTCTCCTGCCTAAGAAACCAAAAATTTTCACCTGAGAAAAAGAACAGCAGTTGATATATCCTTCCTTTACATCCTAATAACTCAGTGAAATAGATTAGGCTAAAAAAATGACCAGCTCGAATTTTCTGGGAAGTTTCATGGCTGGGTGGAGATTTCAAACTGATTTCTTCCCAGTCCTTATTCAGTACTCTAGGGCTACTCTACACTGGTTCTGATAGACTACCAACCAGGGGTGAAATCCAGCAGGTTCTGACAGATTCTGGAGAACCAGTAGCGGAAATTTTGAGCAGTTCAGAGAACCGGCAAATACCACCTCTGGCTGGCCCCAGAGTGGGTTGGGAATGGAGATTTTGCAGTATCCTTCCCCTGGAGTGGGGTGGGAATGGAGATTTTGCAATATCCTTACCCTGCCACGCCCACCAAGCCACACCCACAAAACCGGTAGGGAAAAAAATTGGATTTCACCCCTGCTACCAAACTATTTTTATGGTTGTTATAGACATAAACATAGATCAGGGGTATCAAACTCAATTTCATTGAGGGCTACATCAGGGTTGTGTTTGACCTTGGGGGGCTGGGGTGGGCATGGGCAGGGTGGGCATGGACAGCTCAATGATACTCAAGTTGGGGGCGGCTGTGATGGCCCGAGTGCTCTGCCAGCAAAAATGGGCTCCCGAGCTCCATTTTCAGCTGTGATGGCCTGCCAACATTTTCAGATGCAGCGCTCTGCCAGGGAAAACAGAGCTCAGGAGGGCTGTACACAGCCCTCCCGAGCTCCTTTCGCTGGCAAAGGCACTGTGAGCCAGTCCTTCGCTGTTTCCAGGGCAGCCCTGCAGGCCAGATCTAAGCACCCGGCAGACCGGTTCCGGCCTCTGGATCTTTAGTTTGACACCCCTGACATAAATGTTATAGACATAGATGTAATATGACTCAGAGAAAAGTCACACACTAATTCTGAACATTGTGTTGGTGATTACTAGGCTTTTATTTGACCAACATTCCTCAATCTTAGTCATACTCTCCATGGCTCATTCTTGCTTATTTGTCTTTGTAATGCCACAAAACATAAAATTCAGTTAATAACTAAGCCAAGCACTGGAGCCAAGGATACTGGTAAGAGCCCCCTACATCTGCTTTCCATTCACTAACTCACCAAGATCGTGACTTCCGTACTCGGGATGCTGCAGGTCGCTCCAGGAGGCTATCTAGGCGCATCAACCTCTCCAAATGCAATGCTCGTGGGTCCTGTTCACTTTGGTCTTGTGTGATCTCAAACTCAAATACAGCTGGGGGAGAGACATCTAGTTCCAGAAACATGATGTTCTCAGCCTTTGGTGGTGAAGTTGGAGAAGAAAGGAAGGCAGAAAGATGTTGATAATATCAAGAGATCAGTTTATTACAGAGCTGAAACTGAGTTCTGGTTCAACATATTGTTAGCCTTTAAAGTAGATCAGACTTGGAAACCAAAGATATGAATGCTAATACTATTATTATTAGATTAAAGTTACAGAATTTTACAAGTCTGAATGTGCCTCCACTGTCTCTCTTTATCTTCAAGAAAACTAGGGAGGCTCAAATCTGAGATGCTTTCTCAAGTTGTATTTCTGCCACAGATTCAAATATCTTTTATCTGACTATTGTTTTGGTGGCGGCTCTTCCTCCTGTTCCTTAAGGTTACTCTTACAGCTACTACACATATATTGTATCCTTACAATTTATATTGATATTGCTTCCTGGTTGCTTATTTGTACCCTATGACTATCATTAAGTGTTGTACCTTATAATTCTTGACGAATGTATCTTTTCTTTTATGAACACTAAGAGCATATGCACCGAGACAAATTCCTTGTGTGTCCAATCACACTTGGCCAATAAAAAATTCTATTCTATTCTATTCTATTCTATTCTATTCTATTCTATTCTATTCTATTCTATTCTATTCTAGTAGTTGAAATAAATACACAGTCCCTATGCAAAGCTAAATTAGGATAATTCTATAAGCAAATCCTGAATGGTTTTTTTCATGGTCTGAGTTCTACGCCTTACAAACTGATAGTTTTTCATATGAAGCTGCCCGTATTTTTTGCATTTTGCTTAGAACCCCTCAACTGTCAAGGTTTCAGTAAAACCAATCCTCTGATTTTTTTTCCCCTAGAGGATATTCATTCTAACTCTTCTTTAATATTGTAATCTTCAGAACCTGCACAAAAGTGGTGGTTTATGAGAAATACTTTTTTAATTCTCTTTTTATGTAGGTTGCGATTTCACTAATGTAGGAAAGATTAACCAAAATGTGCATGAGACTGGAACAAATCTCCAAAGAAGAAAGTGAAGGATGCACAACACAGATGTAGAAAATTATGCCTTGTGTGAAAAAAATGGATAGAAAAAAGGTTTTCTCATCAGACTTAATACCTCATAATACTATAAACCAGGATCATCCAATAAAAGATTAGGATATTTAAGACTGATAAAAGGACATATTTATAAGCACATAGATGGAATTTATTATCCCAAATATAGAAATAGCTTCTAACTTGAAAGCTTTTTTGAAGAGGATTAGGTAAATTAGTAGCAACTACAAATGGCTGCTAGTCATGACTTCTATATATTAACCCTATTAATGGAGACAGCATGTTTCTCAATATTAATTGCTGAGTAACATGAGTAGATGGAATCCAATTTATTCTCATATCCTACTTATGGCCTTTCCCCAAGTATTTGGCCAGCCACTGTGAAAACAGAAGTTCTAACTGGCCAGCTATTTAGTCTTATCTTTCATATTCTAAACACAATTAGTCATCTTTTTTCTTGTTGTGACCTGACTGCTATTTGATTAGTTTTTCAATCTTGCCTTTTAATTAATTTACTTCTGTAATACGGATTTCAATATCTTGTTAAAAGCTTGTTGCAATGGGCTTTTTTTTGGCCAAGACTGGGATACAAATATTAGTTAAATGAGTTAGATTAAGACACACATTTATATAATATGCTAAGTTTGTTTGCATTTGTCTTCATTAGGTTGCTTAAGGCTTAGCATGTTATACAACCCTAGTCTTTTTTACCAGTTTATGGTTCTGTGTATTGTTAGAAAATGGGCTTGTTTAGTGTCAAGAATGCTATACAAAAAGTCTTTACTGGAATATAGCTTGCCTTGTAGCCAAACAGTTTGGCCTTATTTATTGTATTTATATATTTATAAAATTTATGGGCCACTCATCTTGCCATAGGATAACTCTGGGTGGTTTACAGTCATAAAAATATGTCAATATGTGTACAATTGAAGCATAAATTATTAAAATCAACATAAAAACCTAAGGACACATGGCGAAGGCCGGGCAGAGTTGGGGGAAAGTGGGATCTGTTGTTACTTGATCAACCACCACCACTGGGGCTCCAAGCCAACTGGAAGAACTACATCTTTAGGCCCTTACAAAAGGATAGGAGGTTAGAGGTCAACCTCACACCGGGGAGCAAGATGTTCCAGACATCAGGAGCAACAGCAAAGAAGGGCCTCCTCCTGGACCCTGTGAGCCAGAATAATTGGGCTGTTGAGACCTGCAACATGCCTCCTCTGGCAGCACGGGTGGGATGGGACAATCCCAGTGGAGTGAGATGGTCCCTCAAGTAGCCTAGACCCCATGCTACAAAGGTTTTAAAGGTGATCAGCAACACCTTGAATTGCACCCAGAAGCAGACTGGTAATCAATGCAGCTTGTGGACCAGTGGTATTACAGGGGCCATTCTAGGGGCCCCCCAAACTGCCCCTCTACACCAGCTCTAGCTTCTGGATGCTCTTCAAGGGTAGCCCCATGTAGAGCACATTACGAGTGATTTATTCTCCTCACCAATACCAACCCCCCCACCTACTCCATTAAGAAACCTTTTCTCACCCGATACCGAGGATGGGACCCCATTGACATGGCTAGGCGAGCATATTGGCTGATTGGCCTTTTGTATCCCACTGCAGAAGTTGGGCGCTTTTTCATCTGAGTCCCCGTGGTGGAGTTGCTGTTGCTGCTGCTGCTACTACTGTTGGTGTAAAAGAAATAAAAAACATACAAGGAGTTTCTCCAGAGTAGCCATGATGAATATAGGGCATGTAGCAACACATAGATGGTTCCTAAGTCTAAATAGTTCCTATGCCTAAATAGGATTCCTTTCTACTTTTTCCTCTCTACAATCTGGCATTTAACTAATAGAGCTCATTTTCCATTTTTTTGCTATTGAGTCTGCCTCACAAGTCTCATCTTTGCAACAATTTCACAATATAATGCCAGTGGGGAGGACAAGGGAGTGATGAGGGCAGTGTTTAGGGTCATGTAACGGCATACCACGGTTTGTTTATTTATTGGAAAGATTTAATATAGTTGCCCATCTTATGTAATATAACCCTGGGCAGCTCACAGCAACAGTAAAATAATTACAATTAAAAAGAATAAAAGAATAAAATAAAATAAAAGAATAAAAACAATAAAACCAAACAAAAACAGAACATAACCAGTACCCCAAACATAAGAGTACACACATATACATATCACAACTGCAAAGCTTCCTCAGGGTCCAGCCTTGTATCTTGCATATAGAGCCACGGTGGTGCAGTGGTTAGAGTGCAGTACTGCAGGCTACTTCTGCTGCTTGCTGGCTACCTGCAATTTGGCAGTTCAAATCTCAACAGGTTCAAGGTTGACTCAGCCTTCCATCCTTCTGAGGTCAGTAAAATGAGGACCCAAATTGTTGGGGTCAATATGCTGACTCTGTAAACCGCTTAGAGAGGGCTGGAAAGCACTCGGAAGCGGTATATAAGTCTAAGTGCTTATAAGTCTAAATACATGACCTCTAAAAATTGGGTAGCACAAGGACCGAAACTGAACTTAATTACTGAATTAATATTAAACACATTAAATACTGAGCATGATTAATCCACAAGTTTTTAATCATCTTCCTTCCATTACAGTTTGACAGCAAGTTTTTTTGAGGAGTTTGGTGAGCCTCATGTAGGAGATGACCCAGCTGAGCCCGAGGGAAGGGTCAAACGTGTCATCAGTCATGAGTTCCCTCATGCCCACAAGAGATCTAGGACCAGCCCACCTTGAATTCCTTCTGCTCTTATCTCTTGCTACTTTCCCTTGATGGCTAGTAGTTCAGCTTCTTGTAGCGAGCTCAAGCTTACAATAAATCTTTATACTCATTTGAACTGTCTGGATCTCCTCGTTTTCCTGGGCCTTGACACCCGATATGGCTCTGGGACTTCAGAATGTATGGCTGATTTACCGCCAATTTAAAAGGGGTGGATGGAATGGAAGGACCCATGCCTGGCCCCCAGTTGTTTTTTCTTCATCACTATCTACATGAAGCTCCTCCAGCCCGGCTTTCCCAGGGACACTGGGCATCAAAGGTCAGAGATTGCAGACTCACCTCCCTGGAGTCAGCACCAAGGGCTGGAATTTCCACTGGTCCTCCTCACAGTCAAAGTAGAGGCGGTTCATGATCTTGTTCTTCTCTTCAGGGGGGATGAAATTTTCAATGATTAGGTACCTGCACCAAATAGAAATGGAAAGAATCAAAGAAACAATAACAAAACACTTCTCTTTAATGTTTTAACTGGCAGTTAAATCAATCAAATATTGGGAAGGCAAAATCAAAGTAGAAGAATGGTACTGTAGCTTTTTTCACATTTATACTATTGTGAACTTGGGAATTTGAATTTGGGACCTTGGGAATTTGGGAACAATTTGTCCAGCCCAGCTGAAATGGTTTGACCCCTTGATTATTTCTCAATGGCAACCTGCTCTTTGATAGTCTCAGAAGTATGTTCTAAAGCTGCATCATCTCATCTCCACCTAAGGAAATGCTACCATGAATAGAGATGCCATGGAGGATTGGAAAGAGAGAATCCTGGGGCAAAAGAGCCTTGGTAGTACAGTGGTCTAAGGCACCCTATTATTAAGCTGGTTATTAAGACCAGATGCCTGCAATTACTGCAGGTTCGAATCTCGCCAAGGCTCAAGGTTGACTCAGCCTTCCATCCTTTCTAAGGTAGGTAAATTGAGGACCCAGTTTGTGGGGGCAATAAGCTGACTTTGTATAAATATACAAAAGTATGAAGGCTATTGCTTAGCGCATTGTAAGCCGCCCTGAGTCTCCGGAGAAGGGCGGCATATAAATCAAAATTTAAAAAAAAAATCCACTGTAGAAGAGTACTTTGCAGAGGATGGTATGTCTTATGTTAACTAGGAGGCATTAGGTGGATATAATGAGAATCATCACCTCACCAAAATGAGAGGCATTGGAGTCAATGAAGCTGAACTATTATGATCTCCCTCTCCTCAGGGATGCGGTTATTTTTATATTCTGCACAGCATCAGCAACCTTGTTTGGTACCATGCCAATTTGTAGAGTGACACAGTAAGAGGCAGTGAGAAATGATGGGAATGAACAATAGAGATAGTGAATGAAAGCAGGGGTTTCCGTAGATAGATTATAGGGGTTGGGGCTATGCTGCCAGGAAAAAAAAGTTACTCTCAAGATATTCTTGTGGCAAATGTTTCTTTTGAGACATCTTCACATAGTGGTTGGGTTGTCACGCTAGGTCAGAAAAGAGTTAAAGAGAAACTTGCCCTATAACTTTACTCATCATTTGAAGTAACTTGTTAAACTAGAGTTGGGGGCTTATCGTGCCATTCAAGCTGCCAATAGAAGACTTTAACAGCTTGTTTTAGCAAATCGAAAACGTCACTAAACCTTGAGTGCTAGATAAAATAACAATGGAGTGGGACTGGGTGGTTCGCGTTGTACACTTTCGCATTAACCTTTCCTTTGATATAGAATATCATAAAAACACAGGCAGTAACAGGTAGCTTTACTGTGCCAAAGAGAAAAAAGAATAATGAAAACCCAAGCCTTAATTGGTTTCTCGAAATGGGAAAGGCAAGCTGGCAGAGAGGAGCAATAAAATAAAAAGACTAAAGAAATTACCTTTTCCTTCAGAAACCATCCCACAGTTAAGAATGTTAATTGTAGAGTGGGTCTTGTGGTGAGAACATGTCCCTACAGGAATTCCTTCAAGTCCCCCCCCATTCCTTTTTAGAGAGATGTCATCTAACAGAGATGGGTGTTGTTGTTTTAAAAAATCCCTGTGGTTGTGGTATACCAAAATCAATTAGGATATATATATAGAAAAAAATAAGCAGCATCATATGAGGTTAATTCTTTTATCCCTAATTTAAGTATTTGTTCTCAGCACTGAAATTGATTTGTTTACTGCTAATTTTATTTTGTTAATCAACTCAAAAAAAAGAGAGAGAAAGAACAGGATTATTTGCCACTTTGGGGACATTGCCATCAGAAGTATCTAAAAGATGGTCCAAGAACAGGGGTGGGGGACTATGGCCCTTTTATGACTTGTGGACTCCAGTTGAAGTCCACAAGTCATAAAGGGTCCATAGTTCCCTATTTCTGTCCTAGGGCATTCACTTTGTAGGGATCAGGTGACATAGGAAAACCAACAGGTCAGAGGTCTTCAAACTTGGCAGCTATGCTGGCTAGAGAATTCTGGGAGTTGAAGTCCACAAGTCTTAAAGTTGCAAAGTTTGGGAACCCCTGCAATAGGATTTCACTTCTTTTTTAAAAAGCTGTTGGTGATTCTGGCCTGATTTCTCCACTTGAGCAACTTGTCAATTTGGCACATCTGGTTTGTCTCTCCTTTCATAAGTCCCTTTCTACCTACCAGCCCTGGCAATGAGCCAGATGTGCAAGATGGTCAATCATTCCTTGGGATTCTCATAGACTGGGCTGCCTCGGCCTCTACCTCAACACATCCTACCGAGGTACCTACTTGAGTACCTACAAGGTACCTACTTGAGTTTCAGTTCTCGTGTCTGCTCATTCTGTGCCTCCTCCAGGTCTTGCCGCACTCGGATGTATTCATCGTGTTGGTCCTGGATCTCTGCCTTTACAGCTTGAAGCTTGGCATAAAGCTGCCGGATCCAAAAAAAAAAAAAGCTGTTTATTTATCAGAATAGCTTTGATATCACATCTCACCTTTCCAGCTGGCATGAACTACAGCTCATGGACCATATTTCTTAGCCTGAAAGATATTCTCTGCTTTGTGGTCTGCCAGACAGCCAAGTCTTAATATCACTAAAATGTAAGTGCAGCCAAATTTTAAAGTCTTCTCTCTCTTTTTTGCTTTGAAGGATAGAGGTTTTAAGGAGTTAAATGATTTGGGGGGTTCTAAATAAGATAAATAGGTGAGATATTTTGGGCAATTGCTTTAATAAGATTTCAAACATTTTGGCCTCAATCATTCCAGAAAAAAATATGGAAGATGTAAATAATTTGTTAGAAATAACTATATGCAAACACCACCCAGAGTCACTTGTTAGAATGGGTAGCTATAGAAATCAAATAAATGAACAAATGAAAGAAAGAAAGAGAGAGAGAGAGAGAGAGAGAGAGAGAGAGAGAGAGAGAGAGATTATGTGCTTGTAGAAATGAAATGAAATGATATGAAATCAATCAATCAATAAAATTATGTGCTTTCCATGGCCTAAAAATTATCTACCCCTTAAATGGGCAATTCAAGAGTCAAACTACAAATAATATTGTTTAGCTCCAATAATATGATAACCTTATCTGCACATACATTTTCTAGGTTCACACAGACATTGGGTTCTCTCTCACAGCCAAGCTAAAAGCTTTGTACCTGCTCTTGAGCTGACAGAAAACAATATTAGCGTAACATTTTCCAGCCTCCCCCTGGGGATACCTATTCTGCAACAGGCACAATGCTGGCAAATGTTCCTCTCCTTAAGTGGTGCAGGACATATTAAAAGCAGGAGTTGGTGGGGTCCTCTGGCTTTGTTTTCCTCTCTCCCACCAAACAGCACTAATTGGTAACAAAACCAATTGCTATTCTAGAAAAGCACTCAGCTTGTGTCCAAAAGAAGCCCAATAATCAATTGACACCAGCTGATAGTCAGACTTTCTTCCAGCATAGTCATTTCGCTTTTTGATTATACACTGACTCAGTGCCTGCTATCAACGTTTGTAGAGACACACCGTTCAATTGACTTAGCGCATCACATGTTGTTTGTCTCAAAATGTCTTACTGAGAATAGGCTCTGACTGGAAAAGAGCCCAAGCTCTAGCTTGCTTCTATGTGGTGAGAATGTCCAAGGTGCCTTCAAATAGGCTCATATTATCTTCTTACTGGTTTAATAACAAAGAGCTTTTAGAGAGGGGTTCTTCTTAAAAGAGCTTGCTTTATTTATATAAATATATCTTATTAATTATTCATGTTAAAGGATCAGATATATTTAGCCAGAGCATCTTGTTTAGCACAGTTTCATATTCGCAGTATTAGAGGTTGGAGAGCTGCTACAAGCACACAAAATGATAGATTAGACCAGGGATGTCAAACTCAAGGACCGCGGGCTGGCTTCGGTTCATGGGGTACTTAAATCTGGCCCGCAGGGCTACCCTGGAAACAGCAATGGTCCAGCCCACAGTGCCTCTGCCAGCAAAAACGGAGCTTGGGAGGGCTACATGTGTCCCTCCCGAGCTCCGTTTTTATTGGCAGAGCACTTGGGCCCCTACAGGTGCCCCCAACATGAGTGATATCAAGCTGGTCACGCCCACCCTGGCCACATCCCCAGCCCCTGAGGTCAAACACAACCCTGATGTGGCCCTCAATTAAATCGGTTTGGATATTTTATAGTTTAACATGTTGCAGAAACCCAGTCATTTATTTTGCATGTTATGTGAATCATGCTACCACATTAAAACAACTGTGTTTTGTTATTTTGGATTTGGGGTTAAGCATATTGTAGGAACCCAGGAAGCCAAGGTAGTTACCACAGACCATACTCTCTGGGATGGCTGGATACTACAATTCAACAATATCTTGAAAGTCACACCCATATAATAGAGATTACTTTAAACAAATGGTCTGACCTAGGATAAAAAATATTCTTTTTTCTTAAGGACATATATCAGAAGCCTCCCTCGTGCTTGACTAATTTATTAATTAAATCTTAGCACTTGTTCTGTTGGAGACAGCTAAAATTGGAACAAGTCCAGTGGAGAACCTGGGGGATAAAAGAGAATTCTCAGTGAAATTAGTACCACCGCTCAGACCTACGCAATGGCCAAAATGTAGCTGTTTCTTCTTTGAAAGAGCCCAATGGGTACAAGAAATGTAGTTCCATTTTCAATATCTTAATGATTATTAGTAAGAAATACCATTCCTCATCTGAAAAAAAGGAGTAATAAACCCATTGTGTGGGAAAACACAGCAAAGGTTGCATACAGAGTGTAAATGAAATATTAAGTTTTGCACTTACCTATTATCTATGTATCTATTTATGGAAGTAGTCATTGAAATTTTGTCCTACTGGGATTACAGCAAGAAAAAAACCTGCTATGACTACACATGCAGAAACTGTCAGTTCTAACAGCTTCCATTATACACTGTAGGATAATCTGTGTTTTGGCATGGGAGAGGAGACATCTAAAACTCATCTAATTTACTAGCAAGGAGTGTATGTTTTATTTTCTCCCATCCATGTGAACAATTGCTATTTGTTCTTGTGGAAAAATGCAGAGCATTCATCTCAGTGACAATGCTACTATGTGATGCCTACTCAATCACCCCATCTCATGATACCAATAACAGTCTTCCCAAGGAGAGGGTGCAGTGCAGGGGTGGGTTCTAAATTTTTTTACTACCGGTTCTGTGGGCGTGGCTTATTTTGTGGGTGTGGCTTGGAGGTCATGTGACTAGGCGGGCGTGGCTAGCTGGTCAGAGTCATTTCTGGAAGGTCCTCGCACTTACGACCAGTCGTCGCACTTATGACCCGACTCATTTGTTTGCTTTTAACACTGATCAGCTGTAGGACGGCCCTTTGAAGCCCCGCGGCAAGAGTTTAAATAGTTTTTTTCCCTCTAGTCATCAGCTGGGACTCAGGAGGCAGCAATAGATTGGGGGTGGGACCAAATAAAAGGTAAGAATAACGTGGGTGGGTGGGCAGGTGGGAGGGCGGGGGGGGAACCGATTTGGTGACGTCATATCGTCAGCGCTACCAGCTCTGCCGAACCGGACCGAACCGGGAGGAACCCACCACTGGTGCAATGGTCTCTGAATATAGAGTACACTGACCCATAATAGCCCCTCTAAGAGTCAGTCTGCATACTCTTTTCTATATACTGTACATCTTAGGTGTCATAAAGACAATATTTAGCTGGTAAATGATAAAAAGGAAAGATTTCTCTTCAGCCTTAATTGCAACATGAAGCTGCTGAACCCTTGTTCTTCTCAAGGTTCCTGACTAACTTCTGCCAACTGAACATGATCCTGCTGTAATCTATTGCAGGAGACACCTTGTTCCTGATTTGGCACCTGGGAAAGAATAATCTTAAAACATATATTAGCCTGTCTCTAAAGAGAGCTATCAATCTATTCTAATGGACATTCTGTAGGATTTCCCTGACCCTATTGAATCTTCCTGTGTCCTAGATTTCTGCAGGATTCTTACCTTTTTGAGCTTCTTGGTTTTGATTTCTACTTCCTGCTGTAAAGAAGTGAATGTCTCCCGGAGCTCCATGGTTTCCTCATCCCGCAAAAGCACTTCCTGTTGCATTTCCCGCTCATGCCGCTTCTGTGTTATAGAATCAGGCCAAACATCCCTCAATGTCAGAATACAGTCCTGCTACCTCCCACCAGAATATTATCAGATACAGCAACCCCTGGCTCCATAGACAAGCATTCCAGTCCAGCCTCCATGATCTGCTTGGAAGGTTGCTTGTATTTTGAAAGAGGCCAAGGGTCATATCCATTTCATATTGGTTTGAGAAAGAGTGGGACACCCGGAAAGAAAGTTGAGGGGTCTGCGGCTCATCCAAATCCCAGCTGGTCCTTACCTGCTCTGCAATTTCCTGTCTCTTCAGCTCAAGCATCTTTTGCTGCTCATTTGTGTGGTCCATGATGTTCCTTCCGCCAATCAGCAATTTGCTTTCCATTGCCTGAAGTCAAGAAAGGGAAATTATCTTTAGATTATGGCAAAGGATTCCATGCTTTAACCAGTACAGTGCTTACATGTACAGTTGAGCAGCCCTAATAAGTCTGAACAATTGTTCTATTTGAGAATGTTTATTCCCCCTCTCAAGTGATTTAATTCATTTGAAAGGATTAAATATGTAATCAATGCTATAGCCAATATTTAATAGACACGCTATAAAGGTCAAACTGTTACCGCAAATATTGGCAGTTTAATTCTTGGATGACAAAGGCTTAGATTATATTCTATCCTCCTTCAACCTCCTGGTTAGCCCAGTAATAGCACATTGGTATGTCCTGCTTCAATCCTTCCTGCCAAATCTTGAGGTAGTAACTGGAGAAATGAAGCTGTATACAGAATTTGGAACAAATCAATTACTGTAGTTAAATAATTCAGAAACCCATACTTTTCTGGTGGCATGCAAATAGCCAATTAACAAAGGCTGGGTTCTCATGATTTGCTTAACCAAATCGTTTAATAATCTAACAGCTGCATTTGCACACTAAGATGACTTTTTTTTTTTTAATTGTAGTTTAGCAGAACGTGCATAAGCAGCATTGTTAGTTTGCGGTTCAGTGTATTTATAAAATCAGAACACTGAATGAATTCATAAAGAGGTTGGGCATTTTTTTTCCAAATCAGGCTTTAACCATGTGGTTCGATGTTTGTGCAAATCCAGAAGCTGCATTAATTCAGTAATCAGTTGAAGCAGCTAACTTGGCATTTGGTAGCAGACGTTTCAAGCACCTGAGCCAAAAAAATATAGAAGAAAAAGCTCCTGGTTCAACTTGGCTATACAAAATTGGCAAACTGCAGGTCCAAATCCACAACAGAAAAACAATTCAAAAGAGAAAGAGAAAGCAATTAAAAAGCCAACTGATAGGTTGCTTTTGACACCATCCATCTCTGGGCCTCAGGTGAAGTTTTCCACAGCTGTTATGATCCCTCTCTCCAAAGGGAGTTTTGAAGGAGAAAAATAGCATGAAGGGAGAGGATTACCCCTCCATTTTGTTGCAATATGGTCCCAATCCTGCCTGATTTTGAGGCAGTTATTAAAAAGTGAAATGATGGAAGTTAAATGCTACGTATTTCCTCTTTCTCAATGTGACTAACACAGCATAGGAATCTAAATGTCTGGGATAAGAGGACTGGAAATGGCCTAACCATGAGCAAAAGTGACATAGCTGTCTTACAGCAGGGCTGTCAAATGCGCAGCCCGCAGGCCAGATGCGTCACATGCTGGCCACGCCCACGCCCGGTTTAGCAAAGGGGAAAAAAGTCTCGATACGTCATGTGAAGCCGCCGTGATGACACGAGTTTGACACCCCTGTCTTAGAGGCAAGAGATTTTGGATGACATCACACATTGGAAGGCAAATGGATCTGGTTCTTGTGGCTGTGATATAATACATTGCTCAAACAAATAAAGGGAACACAAGCAGAAGACATCCGAGATCTGAATGAATGAAATAGCCTTATTAAATACTTTGTTCGTTACATACAGTAGTTTTGTGTTCCTTTTAGTTGTTTGAGCAGTGTATAAACTACTGTATGTAAAGAACAAAGTATTTAATAAGGCTATTTCATTCATTCAGATCTCGGATGTCTTCTGCTTGTGTTCCCTTTATTTTTTTGAGCAGTATATATTGACCAGCCTTAGTGAAATGGAAGCCAGCTGCTTAAAAATATACATAATGGGATTGGTCTGAAAATTCACTTTTTAGAACATTCTTCCGCCTTTTTAATGCCATCCTGATGATTAAACCTGGTTGAATTTTCCCCATTTTTAAGCTATGTGGATACATTCAATTTCTTTCAAAACTGTTGACGTTGGATAAATAACCCTGAAATAGACTCATAAAGCCAGCCATGGATAACTATAGTTAAACTGTTTGGGTCTAGGATCAAGGCTTTTCAAATCCCAGTTAAAATACAAATTCAAAATTACTCATCTTCCTCTCTATATAAGAAACGGAAGTGATCATATGTAAAAATCTGTTGAGATGGGAAATTCAAAAATGCCTTGAACTTTGCCTTATGATGGAAAGGAAATAACAGAACAAAAAAAAAGCAGTACTTAACCCTTGATATAATGACTCCTGACAAGAAAGCTTATAAAAAGAAATTTAGAAAAGGTAAACCAAGCTTATGTTTCCCATATAAATAAGTAGCATTAATAAAATCACAAGCTATTTAAGGAGATTGTGAATTTGCATCTCTCTGAAATACTGGAGTTTCCTGTCAATTGGGATAGAATGGAGGGTATTTTTCTGAAGGTACTTTCAACTGGCATCCGTTAAGAATTTGTGGCTTTCCTGTCTCCAAGAGTGAGAAAGTAAGAATTTCACGGCCTACTTTTTAAATATCAATTTCAATTAATCCTGTTCTGCTCACCTAATTTTAGTGCTTTGAAAAAGAGCTAAGATGGAACATTCTCCCACTTACCCTGTGGGAATGCTCTAACTGCCTGTGATAGCCCAATATTTAAGGTGTCCTAAGTGAGCTCTCCGCTCCTCTTTGTTCCCAGGCTGTGGTGCTGACACTTCCCAGATGGTGCTGGGTTATAGCCAGGACTATTTCCTTCCACACAGCTGCTGGCCAACACATGGCAGCTGCACTCACTACTTGCAAGCCCTCTTTCCTGTGTGACTCTGCACTGAGCAGTTCTTTCCCACAAAAACACTGGAATCTTTTACTTGAAAGGAAGGCAAGCAACAATTTGGTTGGGGATTTGAGTTTTGCAGACTGAAAAGTTCATATCTCCCTGATTCTTCTATCATGAAAACTGGCCCTGTTTTGCACCAAAGAATTGCAGTTACCAAAGCTTTTGTTATTCTACAAATCCTGTAGGTATACATTTATATATACAGCAGGGTGCTTATTCAGCAGGTTCTGACAGGTTCTGGAGAAGTGGTAGCGGAAATTTTGAGTAGTTTGGCGAACTGGCAAATATCATCTTTGGCTGGCCCCAGAGTGGGGTGGAAATGGAAATTTTGCAATATCCTTCCCCCAGGAGTGGGGAGAGAATGGGGATTTTGCAGTATCCTTCCCCTGGAGTGGGGTGGGAATGGAGATTTTACAGTATCCTTCCCCTGCCACGCCCACCAAGCCACGGCCACAGAAACAGTAGTAAAAAAATTTGAATTCCACCACTGATATACAGGCAGAATTCACATAACAATGGTAATTGTGACCAGTATTTCCACTGCTAAGTCATGTGACTGCAACATTTAGCAATGGAAATTTCAGTACTTCTCGTTATCATCATTAAGTGAATCTCTGTGGGTTGTTAAGTGAGGACATCATGGGTCATCATTTGCAACCACCTGCCAGCTTCCCCATTGCCTTTGCTTGTAGAAAGCCAACAAAGAAGATTGCAAATGGAGATTACATGACCATGGGATTCTGTGACATTATAATTGCATGTGGCTGATGAACACCCGAATCATGTTTACACTGTGATGGCTGCAACTTTAAGGGCTGGTTGTAAGCGTCCTTCAGTGCTGTTGTAACTTTGAATGGTTACTGAACAAATGGTCATTTAACACATCCATAAACTTTATGCAAGGCTCTAGTTTGGCCAACCCTGAATTTTAGGCTGAAGTGATGAGGAGAGCTTGTCAATTTTTGATAATTTTGCAGGCAGTGCTATATAGCATTAGGGCAGATGAGAGATAAATGGAGAACTGATGGAAACTATAAAGGCAACAGGAGTAGCTTGTTTTCATATTTTCTCCATTTACAAAGAGAGAAGCATTACTGATTCATTAATTAAGCTTCAGGTTCCTAGTCAGGCATATTCATAGAGAAGGATTTCCCTGGACAGAAATAGAACAATGTGGGACACATGACTCTCGTGTTTGTATTGTATGCAGAATAGGATTCATCAGAGTCTCTGATTCAGTTCTTGCTAAACCCAACTGTGAAGGTAGACAAATACTTTCTCGACCTATGACCACAATTGAGCCCAACATTTCCATTGCTGAGCAAGACTGTTGTTAAGTGAATTTTGCTTCATTTTACAACATTTTTGCCACAGTTGTTAAGTGAATCACTGCAGTTCTTAAATTAGTAGCACAGTTGTTAAAGTGAATGTGGTTTCTGCATTGACTTTGCTCGTCAGAAGGCTGCAAAAGGTGATCACAAGATCCCAGGACCCTGCAACCATCAAAACTACAGGCCAATTGCCAAGTGTCTGAATTTTGATCCCATGACCATGGGGATGCTGCAATGGTTGTGTGAAAAATGGTCATGTCACTTTTTTCAGTGCCTTTGTAACTTTGGTCACCAAACAAATGATTGTAAATCGAGGATTGTAGTAGTCTCTTGGAACACTGTACAACGGTGTTCAACCTATGACCACAATTGGGACCAGAATTTTGATCATTAAGTGATGTGGTTGTTAAGTGAGTTGTCATGTGACCAGACATGATTTTATGACCATTTTATGGAGTTTGTTAAGTAAATCATGTGGTTGTTAAGTGAATCACATGTTCATTAAGTGAATCTAGCTTCCCCAATTGACTTTGCTTTTCAGAAGTAGGCTGGGAAAGTCACAAATTGTGATCATATGATTGCAAGATGCTGCAGCTGTCATAAATGCAAGGCATTTGCCAAGAGCCCAAATTATAATCACATGACCCCCTGGTAATAGTCCCCCCATGTAATAGTCGTAACTTCAAGGATAGGGTATAACTCTCTTTTTCCTAGACAACTTTGAACCATGATAAGAAAAGTTGCATGATTTCAGACCAGTTAAACTCCTCAAGCAGCCTACATAGTGTGGCATGGAATACAGGCCCAAGATCTATCTGGTTCATGGACAAATCCCACTAGGAAATTCTTCAGACATGCCCTTTAATTTCTCTGGGGCCTGTACTCAAGAAGCAAATTAGATTGCATGCCTCCTCTCAAACAATCAGTTAGACTTTCCTTTTAAAGTACCAAATATTTTGATTATCCTAAA